ATAAATAAATAAATAAATAAATAAATAAATAAATAAATAAATAAATAGTTGAACTTGTCTGGATCTGACAACGTTGTGAGGGTCAGGTACATCTGAATTATTTGTAAAAAGAAAAAAATGGGAAAACATAAAGATACTGCCCGCTACCCCATTAGGGAATAAGCAGTTAGAATAATGTATTTAATAGATGGATGGATGTAGATATACTGCATCAGGTGATGTAGCATCAACCTGAACCTAGCAGAAAATCAGAAAAACAAAAAAAACAAAAACAAAAAGAGGTACAGTCACAGTAACTGTCCCAGGGACCAAAGAGGTGGACGTCCCCCTCGGTCCAGACATCTTTGGTGTTTTGTGAGTCTGTGGGGGGGGGGTACGTACCTGTGAACAGTGCGTGGTAGTGCAGGCCCCTCTCCTTGTCCTGGTGCGAGCACACGTCGAACAGGTAGGCCTTGATGGGCCCGTCGATGAAATCCGCCGCAAAGTCGAACAGCACCACCCCGAACATCACCACCACGATGGCCCACAGGCTCCGGGCCGAGCGCTCGCTGACCAGCTCTGAGACACAGCACAGCACCCCCAACGGTCAGAAGAAACCACGGGAAAATGACCCAAATACATCACCCCAATATGGCCATTTAAAGCGTATCGGTTTAGGAAATGGAGGTTTAATGAAACGAGTGGGTCCGGGCTTTTGCTGCTTTTGGACTTTAACCCTGTAATGCCAAATGTATCATATTTGATATTTGATACATATTTGATACATATGGTTTCTGAAATGTTTTTTACACACAAATTTGTATGCGCAATCATTAAACAAAGAAATACACAACAGTTAAAAAAGCTGAGGTACACAAAGGCTGCAATTACATGATGTGAAAGAAGAACAACTGACCAAAACACCATAAACGGGCCAAAATATAGATATTTTTTAAACTTTTTAACCCTTTAATGCCAAATGTATCATATGTGATTCACACCGTTTCTGAAATGTTTTGCGTCTGACGCGTTTTGCATAATTTAATGGTAAAAACGTTGCTCAAAATCCTATTTTACACAATCAGATACACCTGATAACAGGGGGCAGAAGACTACACAAAAAATAATCTTGACTTATCACATAGTAATAAATTATTAATATTAAAAAATATATTTCTGTTTTTTCTTTTTACATATTTTGTTAAAATGCCAAATAAGGAATTCAAACCAAAAAAAAGTAATTTTTTGTTTAGTTTTATTCTTGGATCAGGCCTTAAAGGGTTCATCTTGATTTTTCTCTCCGGTTTGCTTGACTTTCCCTCTCAGATAGATCTGTCTGTTTTATTTTCTGTGGTTCCTTTGGGTTTTTACAAGCAGATCAGTCAGATCCTCGTCTACTGTCTGAGTTCTTCATTATTACGTGTTCCTGTCTGCTCTGGTCCTCCTGGCGCCTCGGCTCTTAGCTATATTTTCTCTATTTGAGTTTAGTTTCTGCTATTCTGGCCCAGGGTCTTTGTATTTTTAGACTGAATTTCAGTTCTTCCAGATTTGGCCTCCAAACACACCATTCAGTTCACTATCGTGCACAGCCACTGACAATTGAGGTTATTGTTCTTGTTAAAATGTGGCAATAATAGAAAAATGTCATCTTTACTGTGTGAGAATAGGCAGGATTAAAACATTCTCTTTTTTAAATATTTTTTTATCTTTGCAGCTTTTGTGGAGAGTATGTAGGGCTCCGGATGGATGCTGAAGAAAAAAGCCTTTTCCACATATGAACGCATGTTTCTTTACAGTGTTTTCCCCAAAGACTCTGTGCTGGTTTCAGTTCTGCTTGATACCACTGCTTTTGAAAGCTAGCACAATGCTGCCAAAAAGAAAGGGAACTGGTCAATATTTGATAGACTTTTTTTCTCAGTGTGTACGGCTCCAGTGAAAGCTCTGGTGGATTAACCGCCTCGTGTTTCCACAGAAATCTCCCGAAACCCTTTCTGAACTCTGCAGCCACTGCTGCTGCACCGCTGGAACATCTGTAAAAAAAAGCTCTGCTTTTCCACTTTTATGTTCAGACTTCCATGTTTTTTGAAGCTTCAGCCCCCTGCAGAGGCTTTCAGAGCGCGCTTCGATTGTTGCGGAGGTCAGATTTACAAAAGGGGTTATGTCGGGCACGGAAACAGTGTGGAGGACAGGTTAAACTGCTCGGTGTTTTGCTCGAATTGTACAGCTACTTTTTGTACAGGCCGCAAAAAGGCCCCTGGCAGAGCCCAGGAGAGCCCTATCTGAGGTCAGAGCACCCACTCACGCTTTACTGGCTGTTTCTTCCCATAAGCATCTGCCCACATGACTTACACGCTGCATAACAAGAGGCCACGGACCTTTAAAAACACCAAACAACACGACTGCCGCACAAGAAATGTGTTGAGTCGGAGCGATTTTGTGTTTTCTGTTAAAGTTACAGTGTGTCCCACCTGTGCCTGTTTCAGTGTGGGAATAAAATGTAGGTGTTTCCAAACTCCTCCACAATGGAGGGCGCAGTAAAAGAGGGGTCAGGTGCCTGATGAGGAGGACTGATTCTGAGTTACATGAATAATTAAGAGGTGGAGGATTAATTCGAACAGTTTGAATAAAATGGATTATCATTTCATGTAGATCTTTTCCTCTTAAATAATTTGTTTTATGGCCTTAGCTGAATTAGGGTTGTTTTAAGTATGGAGTACTTAACTGTTCCAAATGGAGAAACAAGTTTTGAAATAAGTGAGTTCTCCCTGTTTAATTTGAGTAAACTTAAAAAGACATATTTCTTGATTTTATTCTCTTTTCTTTGTGCCCACTGCCTAAGAAAGGGGGGCTGCCTTTCCAGACCCCCTTTCTTATGCTGTAACTATCACATAAATGCAAAAAGAGCTTAAAAAACACAAGCAAGATTTACACATTCGATTTTGTTCTGATACAAAAACTAAGCTTGACGGGATCGAAAGCGATTCAAGACTCAAAGGACGTCCAACGGGCAAAAATTACACTGTGAAACCCATTTGAACGTCTAGCTGAATCCTGATCTTTGTTTTCTCAAACTGAATAAACCACTGACACAAACAAAAAAAAAATCTTAGTTTTCTTTTTGTTAATAGCCCCAAAAAAAGGGAACAAACATCCCATCAGTTTGGAGCCTAACAGGCAAAAAAAACAAAAAAAAAACAATTGAATAAAGTTAATTTTAGCTCCTTAGACTGAGTTTTACTTTCTTCCAGAGTGGCCGCAGAGGATATATGAGCTTATTCAGAGAAAGTCAGAAATGCCAGGCCATTAAAAGACAGGTTTTAGGGAGCATCTTCCACAGTGATTTCCTCCAGATGATTAAACTGTACGTTCAGCCCTAGCTGAGCTTCCACTCCGCTCATCAGTGAGGATTCATTCATGTGGCGGAGCTTTGAAGAAAGTGTCTCTTTTTTTGCTCAACCTACACAGCCACCAGTTTTGATTGGCGACCGCCTAAAGCCCTTTGGGTTCCCACAAAAGGATTTTGGTGCTTAAACGTCTTCTGAGGTTTGCCCGCTTCCAACCGAAACAGGATTTCTTCTGACATCTCTAATCGTCCATCTGCCCAGGAACACCCAGAGATGACTTCAGCCTTATGGGACAAGTTCTCTCTGTTTTTTTCTCGTTTAACGAGTCCCTTTTCCTCCTAAAATGGTCCAGCGAGCAGATTTCAATCCAAAGAAATCGTCTCTCAGATAAAAGAAAGATTCTGGTCATAAAGATAGAAGTTATCGCCTTTGTTCACTGGGAAAATAACCCAAATACATCAAGCCCATGTGGCAATTTAACCCTGTAATGCCAAATGTATCATATTTGATTCATACGGTTTCTGAAATGTTTTGCGTCTGACACATTTTGCATCATTTAATGGTTAAAAACTTTGCTCAAAATCCTATTGTACACAATCAGATACACCTGATAACAGGGGGAAAGAAGACTACACGAAAAACAATCTTGACATATTGCATAGTAATAAATTATCAATATCAAAAATGTATTTCTATTTTTTCTTTTTACAGGCCAAATAAGGAATTGAAACCAAAAAAAAGTAATTTTCTGTATTGTTTTATGCTTGGATCAGGCTTTAAAGGGTTAACACTAACTTAAGCTCAATCTTATTTTATAACTTAGTTAAACTTTGGGTCTCTTCCAAATAACTGCCTGAGGATGCTTCAAAACTGGGACAAACCTTTCTGTGACCATAAGCCTGTGACCCAAACTATACTGAAAAGAATGAGCTGTTTTTACAGCAGAAGACTACACGAAAAAGAATCTTGACTTATCGCATAGTAATAAATTATTAATATCAAAAATGTATTTCTGTTTTTTCTTTTTACATATTTTGTTATAAGGCCAAATAAGGAATTCAAACAAAAAAAAAGTCATTTTCTGTTTTGTTTTATTCTTGGATCGGGCTTTAAAGGGTTAAAGTGGATTGTCTTCAGAAATGGAGGTTTGAATTAATCTGAACTGTTTTGGCACACTGGTCCTTCTCCCTGCCTACTGTACTTCCCAATTTCTGTTTTGTTTTATTCTTGGAATTGGGCTTTAAAGGGTCAAAGCAGATTGTCTTAGTAAATGGAACTTTGAATGAATCTGAACTGTTTTGACAAACGAAATTGGTCCTTTTTTCCTCCTCCCCTAATCCTCACCTGAAACCACGGCGTCCCCGTTGAGGAACATGCTGATGCCCAGCAGCATGAGCACGCCCAGCGCCAGGATGTAGGGCCGGCGGCGGCCCCAGGGCGAGCGGCAGAAGTCGCTGGCCGACCCGATGACCGGCTGCAGCAGGAAGCCCAGCACGGGGCTGATGAGCCACACCAGGCTGTAGAGGCTCCGCGGCAGGCCCACGCTCAGCAGCACCGGCGTGACGAAGGCCGCCTCCACCGCGTAGCAGAACTCCCGCCCGAACATCACCAGGCTGTGGAGGACCAGGCGGCCCCGGGGCCGCCGGGGGGGCTCCGCCATCCCAAACGCGCCGCTCTCCCCGCCACTCTCCCCGCCGCTCTCCATGAACTCCTCTTTAGGCGAGTACGCGTCCAGAGAGGGACTGACGTGAAGGCAGGGCTGCGGCCTGGTACCCTGGTCCTCCGACAGCAGGGTCATAGTAAGAGGGGAGGGGGGGGGATAGGGGAATTACTAGGAATTTAGGTGGAAAGAGTCCCAAAATAAAGGGGGTTTTCTCGTTTTCTCGTTTTCTCGTCGCCTGCCAGGTGATGGAGAAACAATCCAAATCCGTCCCGTTACGCCGAGTTAATCCTCTTCTCTATTGTGCCGTTGAGCAGCGGGGTCTAAGCTACATTACTTAATAAGTGAGAGTCTGCGTGAGTAAAAAAGACCCAACCAAATGGGAGGAGAAAGAGGAGAAGGGGGCGTATTTGAGAGATTACAGCGTCTCTTCCCCCTTTTTCAGGCTCTTAAGTAGTAAATGCCTTGGAGTGGGTCACAGGAGCAGAGAAGGCCTGCATGTGACTCTCTGTGCAACAGACAAAGATCCAGAAGTATGAGGCCAAGCAAAAGAAACAACCCACTAGTCCCGGACACGGTGATTAATTTAGGGTTTTAGGTTATTTTAGGGCAGGTGGTGACCCCCAGAAGTACCAAAACCAGTCAAAAATACGTGAGAACAGAAGGTCGGTACAGTGAATTGTTGTGAATTTTAACCCTGAAATGATCAAATGCATCAAACAAATGCAACACTTTTTTGAGGCTGGATGAGAGAGATGCTGTCGGCCTTTTGTGGGGATTAATTCCCCTCCATTCCAGGAAAAAAAGCAGCCTAATAAATGACTTTCTAACCTCTTCACTGAAAGCGTGTCAGTGCTTTAGCCGGAGGGCAGACTCATGACCGTTATCATTACGCAGGCAGAAAGATAGAAACACAAACCCTTAATAGGCACAACATCAGTTTAAATGTCCCTAACTTTAACCTTAAATGTCTTAAAAAATTGTGCTTGTTCTAAAATTATTATCTATTTGTACTTCTTACTCATTTATGTCCACAATAAGGTTATTATCACTATGTAGGGAATAATAGAACTAAAAATTATGGTGACATCGTGGCCTGCAAAGCAATTATCATATTAAACGTATTCATTATTGATATATATTTAACTTTAACTATAATTAACTGTGACCTTGCTGTTTTACATTTGTCTGTTTGGGTACTTCCTCACGCCATAAACGTCCTCTTTAGGACGTTTACGGCTAGAACAGGCTGTAGCCCCCACGTGACTGATAAGAATAACTGGGATATAAAATGGATGGATGGATGTTTAACATTTAAAAGAATCAAACCATTTAACACATAGTCAATATAGGAGAATGTTGCATGTTAATACCCAGTTTATACATTTCTACCATCCATTTCTGTGAGTCTGAGTTGAGATAGATACAAAGGAGTTGAACGTTTTCGCTGAAAAACAGATTTTGTCTCCCGATCTGGAATCCAATAAATCACCGTCAGTCATTTTGAAGAAGAGATCAGACTGATTAATTCTCCACACAGAGGGGTTTTCGCTCTGCTTCTGAGGAGGCAGCAGGAGGAAGCCGCGGCTCAAGCAGATTTAGAGGGAACAGACAGGAACTTATGAGGTTCAGCGGATAAGTGGAGCAACTTTATTGCAAACAGACTGTGGCTGAATACAAAGGTAAGCCCATGATCTGGAGCCAGGGAGAACAATATCTGAGAAAATAAACACTGAACGGGAAAAGGAGAGACAGAGGGAGGGAGGGGAGGGGGGGAGAAAAAGGCTTCAGCCACATAATAATCTAACTGGCAATATGTGCAGCACCTATTTCTGGCTAATTTGTTATTTTTTCTATGTGAGTGGAGCTCAATTAAAAAGGAGCTTTGAATTAATTTAGAAGGTGTTAGTCTAAAGTGGCAGGATGATTATAGCCAAATGTCACAAAACCTAGAAACAAGAATCAGGTGATACATTCAGGGACTCTAAAGCTCTCCTAATGCATATTCCTTTTTTTTTTTTACCCCCCCTCAGTGTCGGGGCTTTTTGCCACATGTCAGGACCTTTAGTTCAGCAGTTTTTTTGCTGATTTCACCAAGACTATTCAGCAGCAGTAACTGCCCCCACAGACAGTGGTTGTTTACAGCCGCTCTAATTGGAAAATGAGCTCGGTAATTGAATTTGGTCTCAATCTTCTCATAACGTCTGGCTGCAGTGAAGTTTTAGGATTCGCCTGAAAACTCTTTCGAAATCCATTCCCGTTCGTGTCGTTTTAAGCCCAAAATCCAAGAGAAAGTTTTTACACTCTAAATGAGACTTTGTCTTTTTCTCCCACGTTTCAGATGATGTATCAGAGATTTAAAAAAAAAATGATGGCTAGTCAAACTCTGCAGAACTTATTAAAAGAGAAACTGTGAGAAAGTATAGATAAAAACAATTAGAAGAATGGAAACTGTTATTTAGACCACAGATATGAATGTTCAGGGTTATTATGAGACAGAAAGGAGCATTTAGCCGCCTCACTTTGTTGTCTAACTTATAAATAACTGACATTTTTAATTAAAAAAAAGTTTCTGAAGGATTTTTAAAATAGAAATGTGTTTATTTGCTTTGATAAGAAGAGGTCTAGTAGATTAGTTAAAGTCAGTCGCCATCAGATAATCCTGCTGTTTCTAAGCATTAGAGTTAAACAAAGGCAATCTAATCAGAAATAATTTAACCCACTTCAATGTCTCCAGTGAGGAGTCGTCATATTTTTCTTTATCAGAGTTTGAAAAACTGAAAATCAAACATTCCTCCCACATTTCAGCTCTCATAGTGTTTTTTTTAATTCTTTGTTTACAATGCTGGAAATAAAAAGCCAAAAGAACTAATTGACTTTCTCACATTTGACTAACAGAGTGAGTAAAGCTTTCAGAGACCTGGTCGCGGCACTACTGATTAAAAATTGATCCGTTCGAACAAAGTCCTCACACCAACAAAAGCTGACAGTTTTAAATATAAGACCAGGCATTTGATTGCATTTATGAGTGATAATGTCAGGCTGTTAGGCTGGCTGTAGCAATAATCAATCCAAATCCCAAGAAAAATGATTCATACTGACAGCGAAAGCATAAAGAAAGACATTTTATCTACATTTTTTCTGCCTGTTAGTGTCAGAATTTCATCTCTAAGTGATTTAAAGTGTTCGTGACGTGAAAAGGACGGAGGTGTGTGTGTTTTTTATATGAAGGACGTGATCATGGAGGCAGAGATTTAATATGACGGAGCTTTTTCCTGTCTGTCCTGAACGGGAGGGCGAGGATTTAAGGAGGTAAAGGTGAAGGGAGGCTGGACGATATTGGTCAGAGCCGCCCTGCCCGTCTGGAAAAGAGGAAGTGAGGTTCACCGCGGGCCGGCGTCTGCTTTTGTCTGCCAATCACAGCCTCCTTTGTTCCTGAGAACGAGAAACGGCGTGAAATGAAACGTAAAAAAAGCCATAAAGCTATAACTGCTGTTGGTAAATAGCGGAATCATAGCCGCACGTGAAGGACGGATCCAGCCGTTTGTGCAGAAGATGAAAGGAACGGGGATAAACGAGCCCCTGAGGGCCTCCAATCTTCTAAGAATGAATTAACTTCGTCAGGTCTATTGTTAAAGCGGCGTGCAGAACCACTGATGCTGTCACATAATTGCCATCTTTCTTGTCACAAAGCCAAAACGGATCACATGATACCGCCAAATGAGTGAGAAGACGGGGAGATGGGACAGTTTCCTCATAGCCAGAAGCCCCTGAGGAGGATTTTAGGCAAGTTCTCAGCTGTTTTCAGAGTTTTCAGGCCGTTTGGATCCATCCTGATTTGACACTTCTGTGAGATACGAGGTCAGGTCGGAGACCAGCCCGGGAAAGGCGCCTCTTCATTAGGCAGCAGTCCAGATGTGGCCTAACAGATGTTGGGACTGAATTTTCCAGGCAATTCGCAAAGACTGATCTTTAAAAATAAACTCACTGCATGCAGGGATTGTTTTAGACACCATGTTTAAGCACTTCTGAACAACAGAAATCTTAAAATACAGATTTTACAACTTACAATAACCCCTCAGGTGGTTGAAACCACCATTAAGAAGGCCAAAAAGGCCTTTAAGCTCATCAAAAAAAGAAGAAAATCTCAAAGTGCAGCATCCTCAGGGTCAGAATAACAACCTTGCAATATGTAAATTTGGGAAAATACAACAGTTAATTTACTTTAACATGCAGAGGAGGCTGGTTAAATCGTGTCTTGATACTGTTTTATCGGTCAGAAAACTGAAGGCAAACTGACCTATAATAAACTTGAGGCTGTGAAAAGTACAGGAGTTGTTAAGGTAACAACAGAACAAGACGCAAACTATGCCCCCCCGCTAAATGTCCTGTAAATTGTTAACGGACCTCCTCGGAAGAGGGTAATATTGAGTCATCATTCACCCAAATCTCTCCTCCCGGGAAAATAAATCCTCTCCCAGCCATCAGATCACAAGGGCCTGTTTGGTGTGTGTGTGTGAGTGTGTGTGAGTGTGTGTGTGCATTCGGCTCTCTCCGCTAATCAAGTGATGATGCATGTGATCCCTTAGGGAGGAAAAAGAGCATCCAGGAGGTGGGAAGGAGGAGGAAGGGAAAGTAGGGTTGTTTTAATGCTTTTTTTTAAACCTGTTTTGATGACATCATTTCAGCCATTTTTAAAGCCAAGGTGTCAAATAGCTCCATTAAAAACCTGTCAAAATGAAATAACTGGATGATAAGCGTTGGGATTAAGCGGCCCACAGTGAAGCATGTAAACACAAAAGACGGGAAACGAGAGAGTGGGGTCATTATCCGTGCTTCTTCTCGCCCTTTTGCCATCTCGGCGGCGTGGCTTTACACAAAATCAGAAGGAGCCGCCAATCAGAACGGGTCGGGTCAAAAGTGGACCTGACTTATAAAAACACAAGAGATGGGGAGGGGAGACAGGAAACAGGTTTCTGAAATGATCGGTCGAAGCTGAGAACTGCTTTCAGTCACAGATGAGGCATAAGTCTTCAGCCAGAAGAACTGTTAGAATTTGCCTGTACTTACTTACTTTAGCATTGTATGCTATCACATGATCTATTGTTTTATTTTCTTATAGAACTATATTATGTTTTGAAGTCTGGCTGTAACCACAGATTCTCTTTTTCTCTTTTTTACTTTAGACACACATCATTAGGTCAACACACACACACACACACACACAAACTTTGTTACCACATTCAAAGGTTACCTGCATTAATTAGGACCTGGCCTGTTCATGTCGAGTTATAGGGCTAGTAAATAACTGGGCAATAAGCTAGTCGTGTTTTTGATTTCTTCGGGTCAGACAACAATAATCCACAAGAGTGTATTTTTACCTTGTTTCATGGGCAATAAGCTCTCAGTCGTGTCCAGTCCTTTTGAGAATACAAATTCCCAGGTTTTTGTCTGTTAGAGCCCAGCTGATATACTTTGTTCATTTGTACATTCGGATCTATATTTTTAAAGTTTGTTCATTTGTACATTCGGATCTATATTTTTAAAGTTTGTCCATTTGTACATTCGGATCTATATTTTTAAAGATTGTATTTTTCAGTTTGATCATTTCTGTCCTGTATTTTAATTCTACATTTTATTTCTTGCTTCTCATACAAATGTTGTGTTGTGCACCTCACACCAAGGCAAATTCCTTGTAAGTCTAAAAACCTACTTGGCAATAAACCTTATTCTGATTCTTATTCTGATTCTGATTCTTTGACCTAATAAATGTCATTTTTTTATACTTCTGATCTACTCTGGCTTATTCTCAGGTTTCCAACTGAAGAATCGGGCCGTCACCTTTAGGCCCGAATCATTCCCCCCAACTCCAGCAAAGTCTCGCTCCGTGCCAAACGTCAGCGGCTTTGTGCGGTGAAGGTCAGGAGTCTGGAATCACGCCACACATTCCTCACATACCCCCAACCCTGAGCCGCTGCAGCCACCCTGGTGCGAGTTTCTACCGGAGACAGGCGAACAAATTCGCTGATCTTAGTGATGGAGGATGAAAGGGGAAAGCCTGGTTGCAAAGGGTAAACTGTAATCTGCACGCTCCCCGGGTAGGAAAAAGACACGGAACGCTCATTATGAGAATTATTGCACCAGTGGGTTTGCTTAGTGACCAGATCCTCTGCGATAATGCAGAGAACGTAAAGTACATACGTGGTTCGGGGAGCGGGAGATTAGCTAGCTCATGCAGAAACACGTTTTCAACCTTTTTTTCTCTTGGGCAGAAACTCGCCCTAATGGCCACGCTGCCCTTGAAAAGAATGGAATCTTCAGAAATGTTCAGATTCCCTTTTTTTGTTCCGATTCGAGTTCGGTGAATTCCTGTCTCTCACCTCAGAGACGGGGGTCTCAAACTCATAGCGTGTTAAAGCAAAGGTGTTTGTGTTTGTGTGGGAGTTTGGAACGGAACAAACCATCTGTCCTGTTACTATTTCATTCACACATCACACGTCCTCCAAGAAGGAGAAACTATATCCCTAAAATGCCAAATGTATCATATATGATTCATACAGTTTCTGAATTATTTTGGATCTGAGACTTTTTGCATCATTCAGTGGTAAAAGCTTTGCTCAAACCCCTGTTGTACACATTCAGATACACCTGATAACAGCCAGTAGAAGACTACACCGAAATATATTTTTGACTTATTGCACGCTAATTTGATCAAAATCATTTTTGTTTTTTTTTCTTTATATGTTGTTGAGGGCCCAAAGAAAGACTTCAGACTAAAAAAATCCAATATTCTTCCTATTTTTCTTGGATTGGGCTTTAAAGGGGTATGGAAACAAAAGCCTTCTCAGCATCCTATAATACACGCTGTCGAACAATAAAGTAATTCAAGAAGTGTTCTTTATTCTCATTGTTTAGTATTGATGGTAGTTTTAGGTTTGCTGAAAGAATGAGCATGAGATGTTAACTGTAAACATCCTTGAAGTGCAGCTTTGAGTGAGTACACTGCTTATAGGAGAAAGCGTCCTATTGTTTGCAGGGATCTTTTTTTTCCAAACGACTCTTGTTACACTGCCTTGTTTCTTATTTGTGTTCGCTCATTTATGTTTTTAACAGTGATTATTATCTCTCAAAAGCCTCTTTTTAATCACACATAGTACAACTGTCTTGATTATTCATTGGGATCTTATAAGCGCTCCTTCTAAGTTGGAATTATTCCTGTCCTCGATGCCTGCTAATAACTTTTGATTGTCATTGCTCGGCTGTGTGGGCACAGGTCGGGTCACCTCTCTCTAACCGGCTAATCAGTGCATTTTCCATCAAATGTCTACATCTTATCAAAATTAATTGACAGGCAAACTTTCACAGCCATCTGTCAGTTTATCTAACTACTTTCTCTAACAAAGTCTCAGGTTTCTCGTGTCAAATTGGAACTTTTATCTTAGTTAAATGCTATTGGTAAATAGCATTTATTAAAGGGAAACCGTTCCCACCGAGACACAAGATGGAGGATTACAGCAAAAAGAACAGGAAGTTACATTTTAAGACACACAAGGTGTGTTCAATTATGATCATTGTATGGTTGTAAAACCTCAAAACAGACAAAGGCAAATTTCTTTCTTAGCGTATAAAAGATATACTCGTGTTCTGACACAGAAAACAGACACAAACTTTGATCAACAATTCATTTTAATGACTCCTGAGTCCATCTCAGCTTTTTTGCTTTCAGGTTTGGAACACAGTGGACAAAAAGATGGTGACGCACCCCCCCTCCTCTGCTCCAAAACTGGGTTTACAGGGGCAGCTTCTACCTCTGGAGGCTTTGTCCACGCACAATGAGGCCCAGCCGGCTCCAGCCAACATCGGGGATAAAGAGCGCAGAATTACAGGCGTCCACAACAAAAAGTCTGTTTACTTCTCTCCGTGCTCCGCGGTGATCTTTCTGAGAAAGAGAAATCTTCTCTGGCATGTTTTTCGAGGCTAATTCAGGGCACTCCGGGGCGGAGATTTAAAGAGCGGTGTCTGAGAAATGTTCTAAAGCAGGTTACTTTGATGGCAACGGAGACGCTGAACAGAGCAGCAAAGAGCACCTGATCGACCCCAAATGCTCTAGATTTTCCCAAAAGACGCGTTCATACTTCCACTTTTTAATTACATCCTTAAATTATTGAAGTTCAACAAATCTGAACAACACATCTGAACTTCCCACTGGCTCTTTGACTTGGATATAACATGTAAAGCACATAAGAAGGAGTCATTTCAGATGTATGATGGGAAAGAGAGTGAAACCAACCCCAAAGATTTTCCCAAAAGACGCGTTCATACTTCCACTTTTTAATTACATCCTTAAATTATTGAAGTTAACCCTCTTTGGCAACAAATCTAAACAACACACCTAAACTTCCCACTGGCTCTTTGACTTAGATAGAACATGTAAGGCACATTAGAGGGGATAATTTCAGATGTATGATGGGAAAGAGAGTGAAATATCTTCTTTCTAATGGATAGAAAATAGAGGGCTAAAGCAGTTTTTCTCTGGTCCTTTAGAGCTTGGACCTCTCAGTACTGGCCTCCACGACCCCAGCTGCCAACATCTGCTCGATCTCTTCCGAATTGAAGCCGAACTCCTGCAGGACCTCCACCGTGTGCTCCCCCGTGGTCAGGTGGGCGGCGGGGCTGGGCCGGGCGGGGGTGCGGGACAGGACCGGGGCCGGGCGGGGGAACTCCCCCCCGCCGGAGTCCTTCATGAAGGAGCCCCTCTCCCGGTTGTGGGGGTGCGAGCTGACCTGGTCGAGGGACAGCACCGGGGTCACGCAGGCGTCCGTGCCCTGGAAGAGCCGGGACCACTCCGCCTGGGGTTTGGACGCGAAACGCGCCGAGAAGATCCTCCTCAGCTCCGGCCAATCGCTGAAGCTCATCTGGGGGGGCAGCTCTCTGGGGTCCAACTCCAAGACTGTGGGGACAAGGACAGAAACGATCACAGGAACGATGATGAAACTCAACAAAGGAAGCCAACAAACACACAATAAAATGATGTAAAATGCAGAAACATGTGAGTTTCTGAGCAGAAAAGGAGGCTCTGAGTCTCTAAGGACCTGATCTAAAGCTTCTTAGAGGCTTAATCCATTTGTCCAGCATGGTTTCAGTGTCCTAATTCAGATTCATGCAGAACGAGGGGATTATTTTTTTGTCATTGAGGATTTAATAGTATGAAATTAAGCTAATTTCTTTAGTAAAACACGACTATTCAGAGATAGCTGGACGTTATCTCTGTTATAACTGGACGTTTATCATTTTTATGGATCTTGTGCATCAACTTAAGTCCTCCAAGACTTTTTTTCTTTATGGCTCTGGGACTTCTGTGGAACACAGGAGTAAAAAGCCAGACGAACCCTTGAGCAGCTGCAGGTAGAACTGGGGCTCTAAGGCGCCCACCGCCATGAACTTCCCGTCCTGGGTCCTGTAGGTGTCGTAGAAGGGCGCCCCGCCGTCCAGCAGGTTCTCCCCCCGGCCCCGGTCCCACATGCCGATGCTGCCGGACTTCCACACGAACGAGCCCGCGTAGGCCGCTCCCTCCACCTGAGGGACGCCCAACAGGAAACCACCAGGAAACCACCATTACCGACTAGATCCACAGCAAAACACGGTTCATCTATCCCTAATTTAATACACCAGCATCATCCCCGAGCAGAAAGCCCAGCCGAGGTGAAAGGCAACGCTGTTTGATGGTGATAAGCAGAAAATAATATGCAAATAGAATCGCTGAGGGTATTAACGTGGCGTTTGCTATCTGTAGAAACCCTGGTCAAACAGGAAGTGATCCGTCTGAGAGACGGACTCAGTCGGTCAGCTCTGAAAAGCATCGTCCTGCCAAAACATCTGCAGAGATTTCGATGTGACTGAGGTCAAAGGTCAACGTGAGGCAGGGCGTTTCCTGGAAAAGAGGATTCAAAGATACACAAACAGAAAAAAAACAGCTACAGCGTGTTGTAATAGATGAATAAAAAAGTTTCGCAATTTTTTGACTATATGCAACTGAGGGGTTCTGCAGCCCTGATGCATTCTGGGAGTTTGCTCCACAGGTAGGTGGGTGAGGGGGTGTGGGGGCTCCCTTGGTTTGGCTGACTGATGGATTTATGAAAATAAAAATATGTTTTTTCTAGGTCCTGCTGAGTCATGAGTCCTTTTATCCTCCATATTTTCTTGAGGTGATCACAATCTGCTTTATTCTTTTAAAATTCAGATCCTATTCCAGATCCGGTCCACGATTTCTGGCTTTTTGGATTTTAGCCATACGACTTGAAGCTAAGGGTCGACTTTTAATCTTTCTTAATTGGCTGCGAACACTATTTTTTTTCCTTTTCTGCATTTAACTGCAGAACATCCACTCTTTAATTTGATCAATGCATGTGATCAATGCTGGAACTAGATTACAAATCAACAGAAGGACCCCAAGATAGAGGAAAGGAAGTAAAACGATGTTCTGTGTGCACGTTGCTGCAGTTTTTTTTCTCCATTCAGTGAAGAAACATGCAGGAAAAAAACGGTTTCGGCTCCTCGGAACAGAAAAAATCAAAATCCCGCCGAGGGCATTTGTACACATCGGCTTTTCTGTCGAGCGGTGGCTTTGTGGGGAGACGGATCACAGGGGAGAGGCAGGCCGTTCTGTCACTCTGCCTCTTCACTTACAGTCCCTCTGTGCCCAAAGTCCTGACACATGCACGAAATATCGCCTCCGTGCAGAAGCTGGAAGAACGCCGCGACTTTGTGTGCGGGCAGGAGAAATAAATGCATGACGCACCACCAGAGGAATGACTGTCTGCCAGCCTGTGCTTTAAAAAAACCCCCCAAAAAACAGGATTAATTCTCTCTCATTCCGTCTGTAGCAGCTATTAAAACGCGGTTAATTTTCCCGGCCACAGCGGGAAGAAAGGCGCAATTCTAATGATAAGATGAGGACTCAGATAAGAGTCTCACTACTTCCGTTTTTCTCCTCTGACGGCAAGTTAAACACCGTTCCACATGACTGGCGCCATTATTTTTATTCTAATTCACTGTCTCCGCATTAAATCCCATTTAAAACAGAGTAATTGACAACTAATCTACTTCTAACCCCGACACTCTCGTATGGTGACATTTTAAAGTCACAAAAGCTCCTTATTTGAGTCGCTAATTGGCTAAATTTAAGCCAAAACAGACTGTTTTTTTCAGCTGCTGTTAGAGGGAAATGTCAAACTCATTAAATGCTAAAACAAAACAAAATGCTGCTTTTTGGCCCTTTCGGGGGGCCCGGAGTGTCCCCGCTTTTCCCGCTTTGCACGGGTCTTTGAACTCACAGCGAGTCCCGAATTTATCCGGAACAATCTCAGCTAAGTGGCTGAAACGTGGAGTGTTTTCCAGCTCTATTTTCCCCAAACGGGAACCAACTGCGAGGAGATGTAAAGATGAACAAAAAAAGCTATATTTATCTCAGCCTGCTGACCTCCCCCCCGGCCCCCCCATCAACCCTTAACACACCCAGAGTCCAGATTCATCTCCACACGGGCTTCTGTTTTGACCTCAAATCCGCAGCCATGGGGTCCTGTCCGGCTCTCTGGGGGAGGCTTTTAGGCCTCGGACACAGCACGCTAACGCACTTTGGCCACTCGCACTGCCCGACAACACAAAGCCACAACACAAATACGCACACAGAGGGACAGCCCTCACACAACAGCCGGCTCTGGCTGAATTACAGCTCCATTTCCAACAGCTGCCCGGCTGTTTTACGCCCCATACTCAACCCCTGGGATCTGATTGGTGGTTTGTCGCAAAACTGATCACATTTAAGAGCAAATCGCACCAACAACAACTTCTGATAGGCGGTTAAGTGTTGTTGCCGAGCCAAATTACAGCGATTACAGACTCGGGATTAGGGTTCTTCAACCTTCAGCCTAAAACTACCGGTACAGGAAAGAATCGCAAATTCCTCTTAACCCTTTAAAGCCTGATCCAAGAAAAATAGGAAGAATTTTGGATTTTTTGAGTCTGAAGTCTTTCTTTGGCCCTTCAACAACATATGAGCGTGCAATAAGTCAAAAATATATTTCCGTGTAGTCTTCTACTGGCTGTTATCAGGTATATCTGAATGTGTACGACAGGGGTTTGAGCAAAGCTTTTACCACTGAATGATGCAAAAATTCTCAGATCCAAAAGACTTCAGAAACCGTATGAATCAAATATGACACATTCGGCATTATGGGGTTAACTGGTCGACGGGAGGTGGATCCCAGAGGTTCCTGACCCGCAAAACGCTCCCGCTTTTCATTTCGTGTCTTTTTCTCCTCTCGTTTCTATTTAAAACGCGGGTAATTAGACGTCTGTCAAAGTGAGGCCGCTAATGCGTCGCAGGCAGATCTGAAACCCGCCGGTGTCAGTGTCTATATTTAAGTGCGCACGCAGAGTGAAGGGATGCACATTTAATACCATGTTTGCTGCCTTTCAGAGCCGACAGAGGCTACGTGCTTATTTGCATAAATAGCACTAAAGTGACCTTCAGTGAGGAGCAGCTGCTGAAGACGTGTTTCGACTCCGGCTGTTAAATAACACGTGTAAGCTGTGTTTTCATCATGGCTTCACGCAGTTTTACAGCGCATGTACTTAGAGCCTTTTTTTTTTTCTTTTTTGTCACTGAAACCTACATTGTGGCTAAATATTCTCACTCTGTGTCAGCCACAATGGGGTTAATTTCTTGACTCTGTGGTAGCCAAATTGTGTGGAAAAAAGTACGTATATGTGTATTTAAATACACATAAATATGTATGCACAATCATTAAATAAAGAAATACACAACAGCTAAAAAAGCTGAGGTACACAAAGGCTGCGATTACATGATGTGACAGAAAAACAACTGACCAAAACACCATAAACGGGCCAAAATATATATATTTTTAAAACTTTTTAACCCTGTAATGCCAAATGTATCATATTTGATACATACGGTTTCTGAAATGTTTTGCGTCTGACACCTTTTGCATAATCTAATGGTAAAAACTTTGCTCAAAATCCGATTATCAGATTCACCTGATAACAAGGGGCAGAAGAATACACAAAAAATAATCTTGACTTATTGCATAGTAATAAATTATTAATATAAAAAATGTATTTCGGTTTTTTTCTTTTTACATATTTTGTTAAAAGGCCAAATAATGAATTCAAACCAAAAAAAACAAATTTTCTGTTTTGTTTTATTCTTGGATCAGGCTTTAAGGGGTTAAAAACAGAGTCATCCAAAAGCCAACATGGAAGAGAGATTATTCATTTTGGTGTGGAGGAGTCAAGATGGGTCACCAGTAGAGGGGGGGGGGGGGGGCAGGTCAATGCGAGCTGGGATTAGGCTCCGCCCCCTCAGTCACCAGAGGTGTTGAGAAGTGGGCGGCTGGATGGAAAAAAAGGAACGAATGTGTCTGAACCCCCGATGCTGATGTCAGACACTCTGAAGCGTTTGGAGACTGAGTCAGAGTCGACAGTTGGGAGGCGGGGGGGCGATGACATTAGGATGGAACTCATCTGTCCAAGTGTAAGCAGCAATAATCTGAGATGTGTTTCAGTTTAAAAAAAGCGTTCTACTTTTTCAGGATTTTGGGAGAACAAAAAGCCTAAACCCCAAACATCTGTTTCCAGAGATGTGCAAAACGTTTTATCACAGCTGGAAACTCTAAAGTGGTCGAAAAAGCAAAACAAAATATTATATTGTGCTCGTTTTAAAAATCAAAGAGAAAGTAGGAACCAATGGATGCGCTTTTTCCATTTCAATTCAGTTCATTTTTCTTTATAACTTATAACTTTTTAGTTTCCCTGTTCTGTTAGTGATTTTATTACTAATTTTTTTTGCGTCTGTCACTCGTGTTCATGCCGTTTGAGAAGTGTGAAGTTTCTAATCCATGTAAAACACTTTATGTTGTACCATCGCTCTTGGATTTTAATTTAGGATTAAATGACGTCCCTGTCAAAGAGCTCCAGACCAGTGGGAATGGGGCTTTTCAGCTTCTCTTTTTTCGGCCGGACAGCGGCGTCCAGGGCTGAAGAGTAATGATGACATCACCAGAAACGTGATGCAAACACAGTAGACACATGTCCACCTTTTAGCTGACGTACGCTTTCAGGAAACCAGAGTCCATTTTAGTTCTTGTTGGCAGAAAAAAAAAACTTTCTGGTCGTTTTTTTTTTTTTCATTAATTAATCCATTCTGTTTATCATTTCCCAATTACAGCTTTCCTGTGTTCACTCAGAACAACAGAATGAATTAAATCGCGGGTTAAAAAAAAAAGTGATTGGTGTCACATTTTCTATGCTTGCCATTGTGAGATTACACCTGCTATCAATATGAGAGATTTGTTTTAATTAAATTCTAATTAATAAGGCTGTAATCACATTAAAACCAATCAGATACCCGGATTTCATGGCAGCTGTTTAGCTTCTTATTAAAATGTCTTGAAATTAAACGACGTGAAGGGGCGCAATATCAATACAGGGGAAGCTAAGTGAATTAACTCTGCGCTTCAGGGGCTCGTTGAGGGTTTGAATGGCAGCTCGGAAAAAAAAGGCTGGGAAAAAAAGGCGCTCATCTCTGAGGAAAGCAAACCGAAGGGTCACACACGGAACAAAACACCTCCATCCGGGCAAAGGGAGTCTAACCAGAGGAAGACAGAGACCATCCAAAAACTGCCTTCTCCTACTCTGCACCTTGGGGATGGAATAACCTCCAGAAAGAGCTCAAATTAAAAACTCTAGTGTCCATTAATGAATTTAAAGCAACCATGAAGAGTGTAGTGATGGAGATACAGTATGTGCTTGTCTTTCTTGAGATGCTCAATGTATTTTAACATATTGCTCTGATTTTATTATGTAAAATGTAATATGTATGAATTTCTTGTGGTTTGGCTGCTACCTTGGCCAGGTCTCTCTTGAATAAGAGATTCCGAATCTCAATGGGACTTCCTGGTTAAATAAAGGTTGAATAAAAATAAAGTTAGAGCCGCCTCCGATTGTCAGAAACCGTGAAATCGTGAGACCGTGTTGAAGCGTGTTCGGTTTGACTCAAACGTCTGTAAAACGTCTCTACAGGCCAAGTGTCATTTTCTTAAAGATCTCCTTAAACGCTGCGTCTGATAACAGGGTCAGAGTTTAGCTTCGGCTTCCCCGCGTTAATATTCAAAGCCTCGGGTACCACGCCGGTCTTTTTACGGGGACTCCGGGGGTCCTCCCGCCCCCGCCGGTTCTCCCACAGCTGGAACGAAATTATTGTCGAGTCTAAAAAGGCTTTTGAGCCGCGATACGTTTTTCTGTGGTCTGGTTCCAGGCCTCAAAAGGCCCCACGCTCGCTCCCCGGGGAGCCGCAAATCCCCCCAGAAATCCTCCACGGTGAGTCACTATCGAGGGACATTTACAGAGATGTGCATAATGTTTTATCACAGATATAAACTCGGAACCGGTCGAAGAAGCAAAACAAAATATTCTGTTGTGCTCGTTTTACAAATCAAAGAGAAAGTAGGAACCAATGATGCGCTTTTTCCATTTCAATTCAGTTCATTTTTCTGTATAACTTATAACTTTTCAGTTTCCCTGTTCTGTTGGTGATGGTTAAGGTGGCGTTTTAGCTTTTAAAGCAAATTTTTCTGTGTCTGTCACTCGTGTTCATGCCGTTTGAGGAGTGGAGGATTCTCCTCTGTTTCTAATCCATGTAAAACACTTCATGTTCCATAGAAACCGTGAACGGTACACTAATATATACAGAAACCATGAAAAATTCGCTTTGTGTTTAGTCCAATGGACAAAAATCACAGAGAAAAATCACCAGTTCCAGCCAGCTCAGACTCTCTCAGATCTGGTGGAGGGGTGTTTTAGTATTTATGCCCATTCTTTCTCCGACAGGCTCTTTTGTGCTCTTAATATTCGGTGATGTTTCGCCCGACGGACTGCGAAGGCCGGGCCAAAACCTTCATCAGGTGCCTCCCGAAATCCGGTATTCCACCGGGTATTTTGGAGGTGTGATGATTATCCAGCTTCAGAGCCCGTTTTCTTCTCATGGTCTCCGTCTTTTTTCCTGACAGATGGTGTAATGTTTGCTCTTCCTTTCCTACCAGTGAAATGTTTCCAAAGCTGCTGCCTGCAACATAAGCCCAAACCACCACTGACTGGGATAGAAAACTTAATAATATATAACTTATATCATAAAATAATGAACTTTACCCAACCGAAAAAAATCACTTTTTAACCAATCGCTATCAATTTTTGAAAACCTTACATTTTTCATGGATAAAAAGTTTTAAAATTACATTACAATAACTATTATAACTGTATTAATATCATTAATTAATGCAACTAAACTATACTCCACTTCCCTTCTTCCATTTCATATAAATTTTTAACTTCAAAGGTTGATTAAGGTGCCAATGGTCTCTGACCTTTGGGACGCGGATTAAAAAGTTGGAATGAGAATGAAGTATTAATGAGGCCTTGAATTTTTCACCAGACTTTTGGACCCGTCCGTTCCCAGTAGGAGCGCTTTGCTCGTGATGCCTCGGTGCTTCTCAGCTGTCTGCTGACACATCCGATTCATTTCAGCTTCCCAAAAAATCTGCAGTTTCTGAAGCCGCCTGTTTGATTTAAACAGGAAACTCCGGACCGGCGCGCCGCCACGGGGGACGCCGTTATTCAACACGGCCTCTCAAAACAAACGCCTGATGCTTTCCCGAGCCCGGAGCGGCTTTCTGAAGTCCGAGAGAACGTCCCCGAATGGCCGAGCTCGTGTCCACATCCATTTAGATCACCATGACAACCCTATGGATCCTCAGGGCCTCATCTGGGCCTCATCTGGGCGCCGTCCGGCCCCTGTGATCGCTCCAAAGCAAAAAGGCGAGACCCAAACCTCTTCGTTCTTGTAAAAGGCTTTTTTGATCCGGCCGACGGGGAACCCCTCCCACCGTCGACAACGTCCCGGAGAAGTGAGAACCGTCCAGATTCTGGAGCCTTTGTGCTTCGTGTTCCAGCCCTGCTCTCGTTTACAGCTCGCCTCCCACAGGACTTCAGCAGAGATGGTTTTTCTAAGGTGGCTAAACCGCCTTTTGTTTTAATTTACCCCCCCTTTCGCCCACCTTGCTGCTGTAAAACCTTGTTTTTTCTGTCACATCCGACGCCTAAACGAGGAAAACCGGGGACGAGAGAAAGAACCCCTTTGAAACCCTTTTCCCTGCCATCAATCTGAGGCCGGTTTGTGACCAAGACTGTCAAAAACCTCCGTTCCGTGAGGAGAAAATGTGACTTTTCTGAGCTCTACAATCCCTCCACGGGGGCACCAACAGCTGACGAGTGTTTGGCAACCCGTCGGACGTTTGCCGACAGTGAAAGAATTCATTTTTAGATTCTGTTAAAGTTCATGTTTATCCTGTGTTTTTAGCTGCACGCCATCAACCGACATTCACAACACTTTGTTACGACACTATACGATCACGTGAACAGGAAGCTGGCATGTTTACGTTAGAGTTAAATGGCCAATTACAATTCGGTGCTGCGAAGACCAGTTTTGCATTGAACGGGGCGGAGCTTAGCCCAAGAAGATAAATGTACCTGAGTGACGTGTATTTGGCGCTCTTTGGTGGGATTGCGTCGTTGAGACAACATTCCCCAGAGAGTCCAGCGCTGTGATATCTTACTTACTTGTGGCCGGAATAAATTTCAGTCGTTGTTAAAGATCTCTTCTGTTCATTTTCCAAGTCTCAATAAGGACCGGGAGGAATTAAGGTGGAGGCAGATACCTTAACAACAGTGAATAGTGACGTCTTCCCTACCATGCTAGCGTCGATGACCTGTCCTTTTCCCGACTTTTCCCGCTCCAGGAGGGCTAAGACGATCCCCAGAGCGCAGGTCAGGCCCCCCCCGGCAAAGTCCGCCAGCAGATTGAGGGGAGCGAGGGGCTTCTCTCCACTGCGACCCAGCCGGGACAAAAGGCCTGGGGAAATAAAATAAAAACAAAGAGGGGACAAAGAGTTATTTAGTTTGGAAACAGAACCAAACATCACATTTGTTAAGAATAACTCTGGACGGCAGAGAGGTCAGCACAGCTCTCCTCTGAGTCAAATCGGTCAAGTCGGTTGTTAACCAGCACTTGACCTTCTGAAAGCCTTTTTCTGTCCCGCCGTTATCTCACACATCTCACAGAGGCCTGTCCTCCCCACAGAAAGAACGTCAGAAGTTTCTTTTTATCTCCTCTCGCTGCCAATTAAAGAGACGCACACACTCCGAGGAGCTGCCTCCGCTCCCGGCTCCTTCCTGTCAACTTATAGCGTTTGTTAAAGGGAAAACAAAGCTCGGGTTTCATTATTTGTTCTAGCGTAAAGTTAATTTATTTAAACAAGTGTTAAGTGCTGGTTTTGTGGGATAAAATAAAGACACAAAACAGTCTCTTTTTGTATTTTTTCTGAAGTACTACATAAGGAGCACTTGTCCACTCACCTGGACGTCTTCCGCCTTTAATGCCATTTCAGATGTGGTGAGGCTAACAAGCACAGCCTGTCTTTTCCAAACAAAGGCTGAAAATGCTGCTGGCAGTTCCACTTAAAAAGACAGACTCTGCAGCCTAACGCAAACCCGTGCGCTGCCACACAGCTTCAGCAGGTGGACGAACAACGGACGTATAGTCATAAACACGTGCACCCTACGTGCTTCCAAAGACTCCTCTGGTTCTTCCTCGAAATGCAAACACCTCATTAAATATAAGTGGCATCTAAGAAGGCACCATTAGCCGTTTTGCATGGAAGAGGCCCGGCTTACACTTGCGGTATTCAAACTACTACTAATGTTTAGTTCATGCAACATATACCATGTTTATAATGTCACAAGCTTTTTTTTTTTCACTGTTCATGTCTGATTTTTTAAACAAAACTTTTTTTAAAAACACTTTACACATAAATGACTGATTCGGTTTACAATGTTTCTAAAATAGCGAGTGTTTTTGGTGTATTACTAGTTCATTTTGAGTATGACCGCATAAAAAAAAAGCTCCAATAAACCCAAAAAGATGCTGGAAAAGTGAGCAGTACTGTGAAGAAACAGCTGGAGGAGCATTTAGTCTGGTGTTTTAGGCTTTTACAGAGTAGATGAGCACAGAAATAATGAAGTCACTCGAGATACTTGAGACAGAGTCGTTTTCCTGACCGATCCAGTGAAGCTATCCTCTGTTTTTGTGATAACCACTAGTGGAAATGCCTGATGGGCTGTCACAGTACCCGACATGGCGAGGTAGTTGATGTCATGCCCGGCCGCGGTGGCGTGGGAGCCGTTCTGGCCGTAGCCGGTCAGCCGGGCGTAGATCAGACGAGGGTTCTCGGTCAGCAGCTCCTGTGGGCCGAGGCCCAGTTTCTCCATCACGCCTGACGACCAGAAACAAGAAACAGAACCGGAGTTTTAGTTCTCATATCCTCCTGAGACCCGGCCCACTCATTTATGTCCATTATAGTGGACATTTTGTCCACCTGTACCCCCCCTAAGTATCTGGAGTTACCCTATGAAGCCCTATAGTGTTCTGTAGAGGACATCCTGGGCTTTCCAGTGATGTGCCATGTGATAGGTTTGCATGCTGGGAACTTTACTTTTTTCCTAAGAGTTCTTAGGTAAATATCCCTTTCAAGACATCTTCTTTTTTAATATTTAATTATCTAAAGCCTGTTCTATTTTCCCATGCAAATCGTCCTGTTGTCCTCCACAGTGGACATGCTATGAAATTAAAATTAAAAATATATTTTTTTTAATTTAAATTGTAATGTTTTTTTTTAAAGGTCCAAATACATGGAAAATCACAACAAAAAAGAAATTTGAAGACACTTTTTTTCTTTGGGTCTCAGGAAGATAAAGCACATCTGGACCAACCTCATTTAGTCAGTTTCTTTACTGTTTATTTTCCATTCCACATTTAGACTTTCCAACTTTTCTACGGTTCTAAAGCAGCCCTTTTCTGCTCTCCACCAGAGCTTTTGCCCCCAGGAACCCTGATCCCGGCCTGACCTTTGCGGTAGGGCTCCAGCACCACGTCGGACTGGACGCAGAGCCTCCTGAGCAGAGCTCGGCCCTCCGCCGTCTTCAGGTCGACGGCCACAGACCGCTTGCCCCGGTGCAACGTGTCCAGAGAGACCGGCACCTTGGTCCGGTCCACGCGGATCACCTTGGCTCCGAAGTCTGCCAGGACCATACCGCAGAAGGGAGCGGGAGCCAGACCGGCCAATTCGATGACCCTCACTCCGGCCAGGGCCATGACTAAAGGCCTGCAGGGGGGGAGGACAGGGGCAGATCTCAGTGTGAGGCAGACAGGGTTTTTATTAAGATTTTTTAAGCACACCTGATCATGGAACAAACACATTTGCAGCTCTGCTGCTTTTAAGAGCCATAAACCGTCAACTCTACACTGGGGCAAAGTGCACTAGTTGATTCAAAGGTCAATGTCACATCTGTCAGGGGGAAAGGAGTGTGCAGTTCACTGTAACACAAACATGTGTAGCCCCACAAACATCTGCACAATGCACGCCTGTTACATATCTGAAAAAGCTTTAATAGCAACATGAGAACTACTAGATCCTCTACTAACACACGGTTTGACACACTGATCACAAACGGGAAACTTTATCACTGCAGCGTCATTGTTGACACTTTGCGTGCAGTTTTAAACCACAAAAACTAAAAAAGAAACGTAAAGAACGTGAACGCATCATGCCTCTTCTGAGAGGGTCTCGTTTACCTCGGTGTGGCAGATGAGGAACGAACACCTTTGCAGGGTCTGTGTACAAACTGAGAGTCCCCGAACTTCTTGTTGACCGATTGGGTGTGTTTGAATTGTTGCACCGGAAGAGGCGGCGGAGGACTCAGAAGGTGCGCGAGGACCTCTCTCGCGTTGAAGTGTTGTCCCTAAACGGTCAAAGTCCACGGTAAACTTTAAAAAAAGAAGAATTTCTGATAAGAAATGCGAAGCCATAACGAGAAAAGTGAAGAGCAAAGAGCGAAGCAGCATTTGTGTAAGCACGAAAAGCCGGACACGGCTCCCCGGGTCCTCACCGGTCAGCTCGCTTTTTGCCTGAGTTCAGGCCAAAATTGAGGGTTGTTTGGACTCCAAGGGACGAAGAAACTCACCCAGTCCCTTTGGTGGACAGCTAACTCCGTCAAGTTGGGCGGCTGTCGGTGTGTGCCGGTGAGGCGAGAAGCGAACTGGATTTCCTGGTGACCTCATCACGTGATCTTGAGGGTTTCTGGGAAATGAAGTTTGGTACACCGCTTAGGTTAGATCGATAGATAGATAGATAGATAGATAGATAGATAGATAGATAGATAGATGTCTTTTCCAGACATTCACAATATTCAAATCAAAATGCAAATCAAAATGCATCAAATCGAGAAAAGATTGAAAAGGTTTAATGTGTTATTACAAATTATGTGTTTAATCTTGTTACATTTCTGTTCCTACAGAAACCAAAATGTGTTTATTTTCCAAGCCTTCAGCTCTCTTTGACAGTATGCCAGTAGATAATTACAAAAGGCATCTACAGGTGGGCGGTGGCATTTCAACCCTATGAATGTGCCTTCAGCTGACAACTACCTCAAGGAAGAACAATCCTAAAGCATGACCTCTGAGGAGTTTCTGATTCAATTTCATGCTTTTTAGTCTTGCAACCATGCTTTTCTTGTGCTAAAGTTGACGCTCAGATGCTGTAAACTCAGCATGTTGTTGCTTTTTAGTGTTTTTCCCTGTTAGGAAGTTGCGTGCTGACTGGATTTGGTCCCAGGCCACTTGGAGCTGAAGCTCTCTCTATTTCTGACGTAAGAAAAAATGCTCTGAAGTGGATGCGAACGATCTGAGTCAAAAATGCTGAGAGGAGGTCATAGCTGGAGGTAGCATGTAATGAAAGAAAGCGACCGCACCTCAGCTTTTTCGGCTCTCTCTGGAACTATGGAACTAATTTCACCGTGAATTAGTTTTGATGAGGCTGTGGGGTCCATGATCCCTCAATCCGTGTGTTTTTTTTCCACTGAAGATTACAGTTTTATCTACACTGCGCCCCAAACACTGAGGCCCTGCAAACCTGGAGAATTTGACTTTGTCCATAGCATACTACAATGTTTGAATGTTGTTTTTCTTTTTTTCCGTGCTATTCTTTCTTTTATTTCCAGGCCGGTGCAGTTAGAGACCACTGATTTGTCACTGTACTATAGAGAAACAGCTGAGATCTCTGTATATTTTTATGTTTGCATTGCATTCTTTGCCATCTCACGGCTGTCTTGTCTTTATTGCTGACAGAGAAGAGGAGATAAGGTTAAACAAATTAACCTATGCATGTTTTCCTTTGGGGGAAAAGGCTTTATGACGTTCTACACGAGCTAAATTTCTCTGCATGTCTGTTTTTTCCCCCGCTCTAATTTACATGTACATTTATGCATTTGGCAGATGTTTTATCAAAGCGACTTACGAGGACAGAAGAGGACTAAAAACCTTAAGTGCATTTTAACCCTGTAATGCCAAATGTATCATATCTGATACATACGGTTTCTGAAATGTTTTGCGTCCGACACCTTTTGCATAATTTAATGGTAAAAACTTTCCTGGAAATCCTAATTAACACAATCAGATACACCTGATAACAGGGGGCAGAAGACTACACAAAAAATCATCTTGACTTATCGCATAGTAATAAATTATTTATATTAAAAATGTATTTCTGTTTTTTCTTTTTACACATTTTGTTAAAAGGCCAAATAAGGAATTCAAACAAAAAAAAAAGTGTTTTTTTGTTTTTGTTTTATTCTTGGATTAGGCTTTAAAGGGCTAAACAGCAATTTACAAAACACAGTTATTACACCAAGAGTCCACAAGAGGTGGAGGCAGATCTACAGGTTGGTTAAACACACTTTATGAGATGTGACGGGAACAAGAAATAGGGGAAAGGGAGAAGAGAGGGAAGTGCTGTTGGAAAAAGACCATTTTTCAGAGCTTTTTAAAGGTGGAAAGGGACTATTTTTCTGGTGGGGAATGATTCTTGGAGGATTAACTCAGACCCAGAGATCGCTTTTGTTTCCACTGATGTACGAGGGCAACATTTCAATTCAGCAGCTGCTATTGTTCTGAATTGTTGTGAATCGTGGATTAAACGCCACATTAGAAAATATCTATTGAGAATTTCAGTTCAAAGCATTCTGCATATTTATCATTCAGCACGATGCAATATTTGCCATATTTAATTTATTTTGTTATACATTGTGATCACAATGAAGCTGCTGGCAAATACGTTTTCTGACTAAGAAACAAGTGCAATTAGCTCTGGGTGTCCTCACGGTGTCTTTTTATTTTTCTACAATGAGTAAATTAAAAAAAACTTAGACATTTCCACTCACCAGTATGAAGCCATTTCAAAGCATCTCCTCAAGCGTAAAAAATAGAGACACATTTGTTCCACATTTCGTTGCTGTTCTCTAAAAAGGCTGGAATTAGGAGGCACGTTTTTTTTACGGCTGCAGAAACTAATTCACAGGAGGGATGCTCTTCAAAGGAGGGGGCGACGCATTCATCCTCTTTTCCCCAAGAAAAAACAATAACAGCCACAGTTTCACTTTTAAAAATCCCCAATTTGGTCACATTAAGTTTTTGGCATGCTGATCCTGATTTACCAACCGACATTCACTTCCTATGTGAGCATCCATTGATAAGAAATACTTTTTTTTCCTATTCTTTTATGTTATTTGCCTTTGAGAGATAAACAAACAAAAAACAAACAAACCTTGAAATAACAATGCGAAGCACCTAGTAGGAAAAATAATGAAATTCTTACATCTGAAATGTCTCGGTTGATTCATTTTGAGATGTGCCAATTCCAGTTAGGAGCGTTGTGAAGGGATGGGGGGGGTTAAAAATGTAAAAGATCGTGATAAATAAATCATCTAATTGAATCATTTAAAAAGCTTAATATTACATGACAACAATGAATATGACAGAAAACATTGGTCTGAACATTTTTTTTTACAGTTTTCCAGAGAAATCCTGACCAGTTTGCACTATAGTGGAAACATGGGGGCCCCCCCATGGTGAACGCATGGGTCAATTGTTCAGATGTTGACCCGGTTAATCAACCTGGTTATTATTGTTATTATTTGTTATTGTTATCGTCGTTTAACGCCAAAATGCAACTTCCTCTGATGAATCGGGCGTGGGGACTCCACAAATGGAATGTCAACGTGTCTTTTATTAACTCTGAAAAGCCTTTGACCTCGATAATGTCACAAAAAGTCCGGCTGTGGGGTTTTTTAATTGGTTTTCGGCTCTGTATTGATCACTTACGGGCAGCTTTTGTTGCCGTCGGGCTTCACGGTAAGCAAAACAAACCCCCCCCCCCTGAGATTGACAGCCGCCTCTTTAATATAAAAACACACATTTTACTGAAATGTCAGCCTTTATGTAACCCAGGTAGGACGGACTCGTGGTCCGGGAAGGATTCATGTGGATCAGTGTTATTAAGGTTGACTTTATTCACTGTTTCCTGAAGGAAAACGATCAATGAGAGGCAAGATTAAACTATTCTCGGGGTGATCTTTTAAATCATTTAGGCGCATTCATACCCTCCATAAAAGATAAATACAGCTGGGAGCTGCTTTTACTCCATGCAAAACATGTCACTGAGCGATGCCATCTGTAAGAGGAAAAATAAGCCCCTGATGAGCAAAACAGGGGAGAAAAAGAGCCCCCCATCAGGCTGAATGTTGTCCAGGTGCCGCTCTTTATTCGGATGAGTCACAACATCCCTCCAAATGAGAACTCCAGCTATGTGGAGCCTGTTAGGAGCTAAACAATATGATGCTACGCGTCCAACTGAGATCCCATTAGCTGAAGCTGGTGCTAACAATGCTGTTGAATAGGATAGATCTGCTTCCATGCTTTGCTACCAAAAAGAGAGAAGAAAAGAGGCTCTGTTTGCATGTACTCCATGTTCCTGTTTTTTCTCCAGCTACTGCAGGTACAGGTGCCTCTTTAGGTTAATTAGCTGTTTTAACCCCGTCATAGATGTGATAACTGCCTCTGATGCATCCTGTATTTAATCTAAAAGCAGCTGGAATAATGTCTTTGCACAAAATGAGTACAAAGAACAAAAGGATGAATGGACGAGAAAGTGTTGCTATGTGAAAACTCTGCATATCAGTGGTCTCGGGCCATGTTCATTTATTTAAACGCTGCCTTTTATGGGACTCCTTTGTAATGCTTTATAATGACTGTGACAGCTGGGCTTCTGAAGGTTTTTGAATGGTTTTACAGTCCCCGACTGATTTTTTGGCTCATTTTTACTGCGGCCATTCTCAGATTGCTCCCATTTCTTCTGATGCATCTTTTAAAAATGCCTCAGACAGCATAGTTTCACAGACATAAGACACTAGTTGAATGTGAGCTATCACACCAAGTAATTAAACTTGGTATAAGTCATCTTGGGGTACGGAACGTCATAAAAAGTTTTAGGAAAACTAAACAAGCCGAAGCCAAGTTGAAGAAACTCGTCTCTGTCTTATCCACTGTGTAACTAATTAGGTTTTCGCATTTGTCAATAAGTCATTGCACCAATTTCCTGCCTAACCTCGTGCGCCTGGATTTAAATTTCATATCCCGTTCTGACTCAGGCAACATTCATCACCATTTTTCATGGATTACTTTAATTGTAATGTGTAATCGGTTCGAGGAAAAGAGCAAACTGAAGGACGCTCGGGGAGAAAATAAGGCCGGCAAGCAAAAAAGACAAGTCATCTGCATCACAATGCCAGGGCAGATTTCAAAAGTCAAACAAGTAGAAACATTGTGAAATCCACAAAAAGACGTCCAGGCAGGCCAATGTAAATCGAGGACTGGATGGTTAAGGGACATTGGTGCTTAATAAAGGTGGGCAAAAAAAGGTAGGATTTGAAAAAAGACATTGAAGTGGGTTTAAGGCCAAATGAAAGTGGAAAAAAACTAAAACTTGCACAATCAGAAGAAGCAAAGGAAATAAAAAAAGAGAGAAAAACACCCATTTTAGACGCACCAGAAGCCATGAATTTAATCTGAGAGAGTCCGCTCAGAGGGAGTGACATTCTGGATCAGTTTCACTTTGGCTTTTATGTCAGCTCAAAATCCTACAGCAGCAAACTGGGACCCCAGAGGTCTAAACTGGTGTTTCCTGGGCCTCAGGACCCAAATACCAGCAGGTT